CGACACGCCGCGGCCTTTGTACAGACCTGCGGTGTACGTACACCCCACGCATGCGCATGCGCCCGGTGAACGTACACCCCGCGAGTTCTTCGCCGCCGAAAGCTGCTCGTTTGCCTTTTGTTTCAATTATTTCAATTTGTTTCAATTAATTTGAAGTTACTTGAATTTATCCCAATTAATTTGAATTTACTTGAATTTATTTCAATTAATTTGAATTTGTTTGAATTTATTTCAATTAATTTGAATTTCTTTGAACTAATTTGAATTTATTTGAATTTATTTGAATTAATCCGGCACTTTTCGAATTCCCAAACTTGTTCCAAAACAGCCTAGGGTTAGGGTTTAGGGTTTAGGGTTTAGGGTTTGGACCTGAGAAAGTTCTGAAGTTTCTGGACTTTTCGAATTCTCGGACTTGTTGCAAAAAAGCTCTTGCGATTATTTCCGCCCTTTCGCGGTCTCCGACTGTCAAAATCCGCGGGTGGAGTTCGCCGGCTTTGACGCCCAAGTGGTAGAGCGAGCCGTCGGGGTTGAGGAAGACTTCGGCTTCTTTTTCCTGAAAAGGAGTCAAAAGAAGTTCAAAAAAGAATAAAAAAGTCCAAAAAAGAGAAAAAGAGTTCAAGTTTAAGTCCGAGGGAGTTCTGGAATGGCCCGGGGAGTTCTAAAGGACAAAAAAGAGCTCGAAAGGGCCAAAAAGGAGTTCAAAAGAGTTTAAAAGAGCCAAAAAGGAGCTCAAATAAGTTTGAAAGAGCCAAAAAGGAGTTCAAAAAAGTTCAAAAATGTCAAAAAAGAGTCAAAAAAGAGTTCAATGAAGTCAAAAAAGAGTTCAAAAGAGTTCAACAAACGCAAGAAGTCCGAAGGAGTTCAAAAGAGTCAAAAGAGAATTCAAAAGAGCCAAAAAGGACTTCAAAAGAGTTCAAAAAAGTCAAAAAAAAAGAAAATTCGAAAAAAGAATAGAAAAAATTCAAAAAATTAAAAAGACCCAAAATCCGGCAAAGCCGCTGCAGCACATTTTGTCTTCGAACATTTTTCGAAAATATAAACAGCCGCGTATTCCAAATCCTAAACCCTAAACCCTAAACCCTAAACCCTAAACCCTAAACCCTAAACCCCGCAAATGCGGGGTTTGAGCCTCGCTGCGTCCCCACAACTCGCATTCGAGCTGCTGCAAGTGGAAAGCTGCAATGAAATGCAAGAAATGGATTATTTGAAATTAACTTACTGCCATTTTTTGGAGAAAAGAGGAAAAGGGCGTTTTTGCAAAACCTGAAAACAGGCGGAAACTTGAATTCAAGAATCGAAACCGAGAGCGAAACTCCAGCCGTGCGCGTCCCGAGATCCACAAATTCGGCTGAAACTGAATTAAAAAGAACTATTTTGTCGATTTAAAGAAGCAAAAACGCGAAAAATAAACAAAAAAGACTTCTTTTCCACCTTTTCCGAAAAAGTTGAACTGGCGACGAGGCGATCGAGCCGAACTGGAAATGCCTCACCTGCGCAGTGCTGGGGTGTATGGACACCTCGAAACCAGCAAATTTGAAGGCGAAAACCCAAAAGTTAATTCAATTCTTTTCTTTTACTTTTTTCAGCTTGAGGGAGGCGAAACAACGGGAAAGAACGTCGATGCACAGCCCCGACAGAGGAAGCCAGCAGCTGCAGCAGAACTGCAAGCCGACATGCGCTGCAGCAGCGGATTCACCGTCAAATTTAATCTCTTTTCTCCGAATTTTCGCAAATTAATTCAAATTTAATATTTTAAAACTGGAGATTCCGCACAAATTTGCAGAAAGGGAAACACTCGCGCGGAAAACGCAGCAGCGGCACTCAGCTCCCCGCCATCTCGTCTGTACCTACACTTGCCTCAACTCTAGCGAGTAAACATTATAATTTTAAGTTGTTATAATTTTAAAAAATATATTTTTCATTTTTAAAACCAAAAAGACAAAAGAAAATGCTCAAAAAGACAACAGACGCAGCTTTCCACCGAGGCGAGGCGAACGCAGCCGCCCGCAGCAAAGTCTGCATTCAAAGAACTCCTTTCGTGAAAAAGAAAAATTAAATCTTCAAATTCAGAAAATTAAAAATAATTCAATTAATGAATTAAAATTAATTAAACTAAAATGAACTCCCTCCTCGCTACCCCACTGCATGCATTCAACTCTTCAGACTTTCCACTTGAATTCTGCTGCCGCTGCTGCTGCAGCTGCTGCAGCTGCTGCTGCTGCTGCTGCTGCTGCTGCTGCTGCTGCTCTCGAATTCATTTAAAGTATTTGCTGCAGAAGCGCTACTAAATTGGAGTGTACAGACACTCAATGGCTCCCATTCACTGGCGACCGCCAGGCGCTACTGCTGCTGCTACTGCTGCTGCTGCTGCTGCTGCTGCTGTTGCTGCACCTTGTGCAGCCTAGCTGCTACTGCTGCTGCTGCAGCCGCTCACGTGCTGCTGCTGCTGCTGCAGCAGCAGTAGCCGCTCAAGTGCTCTCGCTACTAGAGCTGCTGCAGCAGCCGCTCCCTTGCTGCTGCTGCTGCTGCTGCTGCTGCTGTAGCCGTCCAAGTGCTCTTGCTACTAGAGCTGCTGCAGCAGCCGCTCCCGTGCTGCTGCTGCTGCTGCTGCTGCTGCTGCTGCTGCTAGGTTATTACTTCTTTAAAATTGCTTTTTTGTTTTCGCAGCTAACAGAAAAATCTTGCCAGGGGGTGTTTGTCCTTCGGCAGCAGCCGCCACAGCTGCAGCGTGCATTTCATGTCTGCTGTTGCTGCTGCTGCTGCTGCTTCTGCTGCTGCTTCTGCTGCTGCTGCTGCTTCTGCTGCTGCTGCTGCTTCTGCTGCTGCTGTATCTGGGAGATGTCTACCAACCCCACAGACCCGTCTGTCGATACACCCCAAAGCAGCAACTGCAGCTGCAGCTGCAGCAGGCGCAGCACCTTCTGCTGCTGCTTCTGCTGCTGCTGCTGCTGCTGCTGCTGCTGAATTATCTAATTCACTGGCTGCGCTGTTTCCTGCTGCAGAAACTCCTGCACCACAGGCTAAAACTGCCGCTCTTGCTGCTGTTGCTGTTGCTGCTGCTGCAGCTGTTGTTGCTGCTGCTGCCATGGCTGCTGCTGCATCGCAGATCGGCGCAGCAGCAGCAGCAGGCCCTGCTGCTGCTTCCTGAAGCTCATCTTTCAAAGAACTTACTTGACAGCAAAGCTGCTGGTGGGAACCAGCAGCAGCAGCAGCAGCAGCAGCAGCAGCAGCAACAGGAGCAGCAGCTTCGAAGTCTGTTGCAGCTGCTGCACCTTGATCGCCTCTTGAACTGCAAGTGCTAAGGCAATTCTGCTTCCCTTCTGCTGCACTAGCAGCAGCAGCAGCAGCAGCAGCAGCAGCAGCAGCAGCAGCTTCGCCACAATCCACATCT